TTTTCTGCCTACGCATTTTCACACCGGGGAATTTACCATTTCACATGGATGTCTGGTGTTCTGTCTCTCGGCGGGGTCATTTGTACAGTGCAGACAACGAAACACACAGTATACCTCAATCGTTTTGCTTTAAAGCACACCTATTGTGGGTGCGTTTGCAAAATCCCGAGAGAAGGCAGTGCTTTACTCTAAGAACGCAACCGACTGCTTTGAGACCTGGCTAAATTGCTTGGCCGGCTGTCGTTATGAGGTGATGCGGGAGTGGCTGCAGCCATCCCACACTATGCACCCTGCATTGAGCGATCTCTGAAGTCCCTTTCCCCCTCTCGCACGTATACAGAAGAGATGGAAAGCTCTAGGGGAGCAGGATATTGTATGGAAAACTCCACCAAGAGATCCTCTCTGTGCTTCTATTCGACTGTTTTATTATAGGGCGATGTCGTCAAGTTGAGGATATCTACATGAAACGGTTCAACTGTCTAAAGAGAGGGCCACGCAAAAGCAAATGCAGCTACAGTGGCTGAGAGCCAAAACTCAGATCGCCAAGAGACACTTTGTTCCCTTTTTTCCCCTTTAAATCCATGTTAGGGGTTCAAAGAAACATACCCTCGCTGCGGCTCCTTGTTGTGCAGGCACTAGGGAAACTGCGTTTCCCCTATCGTGCCCCTCACAGCTAAGGTCTGCAAAGACCGTAAGGGATTTCCCTTGCTGAAGACGCCTAGAGAACTATGAAAGAAGTGAGCAGAAGTAAAGCGGTAGCAAGGAGAGCAGACTGGGTAGAGGCAGAAGCGGAGTTTTCTATGGCTTCCTTTATGTTCGCCCAAACATCCTCACTGCGACGAAGAAACATCACAAGGGACAAATCACCTCACGCTTCGGCATGAACATCAGACAAAGCCAAACTCGGAAGCCCTATGCAACTAATAAAGAATGTTATACACCCACGTAGAACAAAGAAACCGGCCTAACATCGCCGAGAAAGAAGCATGTTCATGCATGGCAAAGGAAAGACAAATGATCTACGCTAAAATGGCAGGTGTGGAATGCCGCTGGAAACAACAGGCGAAAACACCGCGAACTAAACAGAACTAAGGAGCACCTTAAAGACGCAAGGAGCACAGGCGCCCGACAAATGAAAATGCACCAACAAGACGAACACAAATACACACACATAGAATCACAGTAGCCGACTAATACATGCCATGCCACAAAAGAAGACGCGCTCAATACAGCTTGGATGCGACCGAACCACGAGAATGAAGTGCACACACCAGATGAAACGAGAGCTTGTGAGAAAGCGTGCACCAAGGAAGGCAAACACCACCGGAGGAGCAGATACAACCAAGAGGAAAGGAAGACGGTATATTCTCAAGAACGTACGAGAAGGGTTTTTTTCCATCTACGAGAGCTGCAGGATTGGTGAGGCAAACGAGTCCGGTAACTGTTTCCGAGGGAGTGGAGAGGCGCCGAACGG